AAAAAGTGACGTAGGGCCATTTTTTCCTTACAACAATTGCAGCATCTCCATAATCAATATTCAGACACTTGGCAACTGACTCACAGTTATGACAGTTGCAGTGTCCTGTGGTTATACTTTTGCAACCTTCTAACAAGGTTGCCCTTTCTGTCAATAGGGAAGCCAGATTCACCTAACAATTATGTTACTAAGTTAACAATTGCAGCAATTCTCTTCCAACTGTGGCAAGAAAGGTCATAAAATGGGACAAAACTCAATACTTGTTTTGCTTAACAGCAGAAATTTTGTGCTCAATTGTGGTCATAAGTCAAGGACTACCTGTATATCGTGTTATACTTTGGAAATTTGTGGGTCTTTTTTATATATAAAAATAGTCACAATTTGGACTAAACAAATACATGTATTGATTTATTTTCCAACCCTAAATGATAAAACAGGAAAAAAAGTCTATTTTTTTTTTTTTTTGGGTGGTGATCAGAGGTGACTCAATAACTGCAAAGGAAATTTTAAGGGACTTTTGGTCTGAGACCACATGGCTGCTTAAAGGGGGACTTAATCCATATGGAACAGGCTCTGGGTTCACTTTTCTCACATCCCTTCCTCTTCCTTGGGTGAACTGTTGCAAAATACAATTTCCTTCTTTCACCTATCTGGTTCATTAAATTACATCACTTCTATAGTTGTAATCCTCGATACTCTTCCAATGTGATTGGTGAGGTTTAGGTTGAAAATATCATTGAAGGCAACAGAATGAAATGATCAAGTCAAGAGGTGGTAGACTCGGTAATTCAGCAACACTTCAGATAAGATGATACTTTCAAAAAAGTACTCCTCACTGTAAAAAGCTATCTGTCGAAAGAATATTGACTCTGGTAATATTCTACTTATATAAAAGGGTGTTTTATTGTAGAGATGAATTTTCAAAGCTTTTGGCACCTTCCAAGTCTATGATTCTTTGAACAGTTGTACACTTAGGGGGAAAGATAATGTAGTCAAGCACATGAATCACTACCGTTCTACAATTTTAAACAGCTATGTGTGAATGTCTACTGTGTAGAATGCTAAAAATTTCTAAGTGACACTTTTCTGGAAGTGATTTGGAGAAGACTGAAACAAACAAGATTTGAATAATTATAGCTTGCCTTTTCTTTTTCCCCAGGTTGCATTTTCCAGCTGCTTTTAGGCTGCTGGTTCCTTGATCACCCCTTGGTTGTTGTTGTTGTTGTTGTTGTTGTTGTTGTTGTTGTTGTTGTTGT